ACGTGTACCCGCCTTGTCCCGGTGCCACAAAATTAATTGTGCTTTCATTTTGTTAATTGCTTTGAAGCGGGCGCCGCTGACTTGGGCAGAGGAGGAGCGGCGTTGGGGCACCGACCCCTTCCAGCCCGGGTGTGTGGTGACCGGCGGCGGAGGGTGTCCGGGGCAGGCCGGGGGCCTGGGGCCGGCAGCGCCCGGGCAGGGGCAGGGGCTGGGGAACCTTCTCGCTGCGTGGGAGGGACCCTGTTTCAGAGCCGGGGTTTGGGTTTAGCTGTTTCACTGCTGCTCAGTGTGCAGAATACGCAGCGCTTCAAAGCTAGCGAAGTGAATAACCCGTTCTGCCTCTACGCAGGTGGTTACGGGTTGTGTAAATTCCAATCAGGTGAAGAGAGTATTTAATAAACATGTCATAATGTGGAATATTAGAAAGGCGTGACTACACCTAATATTGCATGTATAAAAACATTCAAAGCCATACCCTTAAAAGTAGAATTCCTTGCAGAAACTTATTACCTTACATGCATCCAAATAAAAAATCACACCAGAGGTATGTGTATCTCAGGTTTTGTGCAAAGGATCAAACCTGTATTCTTTATTGACCGAGGACCTGCATAAAAAGGAATTTAGGTAATGTTTTAACACAGGAGTGGTTTTCACAGAGTGTATGTAGTTGATGTTGCAAGCTCTCTGAAGTTAGTAGCTTTTTCTGTATCACGTGCGTCTGGCACAGTATCCTTATCTACTGGTCCAGATGGGACAGCCTACGTCACTCAAAAAAAGCTGTAAAAAATCAGACTGACAATTCATAATATAACCATTTTATATCATGTTTGTAAAACAACCAACCTATTCCCTGGCAAAAATAAGTAAATGTTGCTGCTGCAGGAAACACTCAAATACCTGACACAAAGAAGAGAATAGCCTTTTGGGTTTTTTAGTGGTGCTGGAATATGCATATATGTTTAGGGAAGTAGGACTGTCTTTCTTCTCCATAAACTTCATTTTCTTTTGAATTACCAAACAAACACCACTAAAGTCATTCTGAGGTGTCACTGCAAAAAGCCAAGATTGTGTTGCTCTGTAAGTTTAATCTCATACAAGCCACGTAAGAAGTTTTTTAAAAAGGAAACAACTGACAATACCAAACGAATCGCTCACCAAAGCTTTCAGGCCACAGTTGATCAGCCTGAACTGACTGATTGATCCTCTCTATGAAGAAAGAAGTCCGGCTTGCTTAACTCCTGGTTACAATTCCTTACATTAAAAGATATGATTAATTATGAGCATAAAACATGCCTTTGACCATCTCTATCTACAGTTCTGTGTTGGCAGAGAACAGTTTTGTGGTAACAAGTTTGACAAATTTCAAGTCCCTAAATTGGAGTGACGCAGAAATTAATGATATGGTCCATGGATTAAAGTAAATACTACTTTGAACGTGAAGTTAAATGCCTCATAGTGCAATCCAGCAAGTCTTGCGTCGGTGATGCAGGAAATGAAGAACTATCACCTTTTTCTTTTAGCATGTGCTTTATTATTTGGAAGTCTCATACATCTGAAGTACCATTATAAGGAGCACCTGTAGGAAAATCAAATCTAGAAGCATGCATTTGAAAGTACGGATTGTCTGTTATTAATGAAATATTTCAAAGACATTGAAAATAAGCCTCTTTCCTTAGCTTTACAGGATTGTTCCACAAAAATGCACATTAACCTTATCACAGTACATACAAATATTGTGGATGGACAATAGAAATCACCACCCTTCCATATGCGATGCATCAAGAACAAGTTGTTATCCCTTATAATGTCAGAAACATAAAAGGCACCATAATAGAATGTTTAGAAAAAACTCAGTTTATGCCATTATATTTTGATTTAAAAGTGTAAGAATTGCTGTCCCGACTTAAAACAAAAAGCCTTTCACACCTGTAAATTATCATTAGAAACTTGTAAACCTTTACATTTTTTCCAGAAGTATCAGGTGCAAATGCAAGGCAAATATAAAATCTATTGACTTATTAGATTACAAATACTACCCCATGAAAAAGCTGTAGTTACAAAAATATAAAAAAATATTCTAACTCCCATTGTTAGATCTTAGCTTCAAGCTACACTGCATTACGAGTCCAAAGCCAGATCTGATTTGGACACATTCCTGGAACAGGAAAGTGCATTTGTCTTATTTTTACATCAACATTCTGGCCTCTTACTACAGTTTTGCTTTCTGGATTTGTTTTATTAGTGCATATTAAGGATGCCTAGTGGAGAGTGCTAACAGATAAAAAAAGTATTTATCAATGGATAGTAGCAACGTAAGTGTTCTCAGTCTGCTGTCCTCCAAGAAGTACATTTCTCCAAGGATAAAAGTATATTTTTTTTCGCCCAAGCCTCCACAATAACTTTGTGTAGCAGCGTGACATTTTCATTTATGAATCCATGACCACTGGCAGGCGATTGAGAAGTACTTAATTCTTCTCACAGACTTCAGTAAAGAATTGTGAGAAGTACATCAACTGCTAACGCTATGTCATACACTAGTAGCTGCTGTTGCAAGGACAATTATTGGCAACATCTCCTCTTCTGCATATAATAGATTGACACATGCTTTGTCCATATGGTGATTCTATAGCTCTTGGCTTTAGTAACCTAGATCAGCATAGGATGTTGAACCAGCTATGAAGGCAGCCTAATGAAGTGCTAGTAGACATTAAAATGACTTTACTGCTAAATAATAACTTAAAATTAATGACTAGATTAAGTGAGATATTCTTATATGAATAAACTTCGTAAATGCTGAGCCTAAGCCTGACAAATGCTAATGTTTTCATGGCTGAAACCAGTACTGGAAGCTATGTTCCTTCAGTCCTTTATCAGTGCTAGCAGAAGGCGTCCAGCTTCCAACTCTAGAGAAACAGAACCCTGCTTTCGTTTGAGGGGAAACTGGCATAGATTAGTAGAGTAATGCAGCTGTACTCCTAGGGAGCCACCCGGTTTAGCTGGGTTTTAATAAGCACTCAGGATCATTCAGCCAGCAGTATGACTCTGGAAGATTTAAGAGTTAGCTGTACTATTGTTAGCTTTATGCTTGGTGCAAGACATTTTCCTTTAAATACCTTTTCCTTTGTTAGAAACCACCCCTGTCATTTCTCCTGGTAACAACATTTGTTAGTCCTTGCCAGTTCAAGCTGGATTTTGGCCAGCTAACGGGTCTCTCAGTCATGTGGTTCCAAACAAATGTTCTCCATAGATACAACACTATTTCATAATTGCTTTATTTCACCCTACTTGAAAGGATCGACAGCACTCGCATCTGCTTTGAAACAGTAACTTAGTATGTTTCACCTATATAAAAGAGGTGAGTTAACGGAGAGACTTACGGAGTTGTTATGATAGGAAGTGTTCAGTGCTCTTATCTTACGCTCTGATAATGTGTTGAATAGCATATGAATAAGCAGCTACTATTCCTCATTATGTTTCAGTTTCATAAAAATAGGGTTCAAGCAGGCACCATTTTGCTCCTCAAAACTTTTGATCAAAACTGTGTTTTCCACTCAGATTATGCTGTGATGGCCGGATTTCTTTTTAACAGAAATTCAGAGGTACCTGCGCACATCTGCCAAGGCTGTGTTTGGGTTTTTTTCAGTAAGCACACTGTACCTACATGCTTAATCAGATTTGGAGAACACTTCATACTGAAAAACAACAAAAATTAAACCAAACAACACCTACAGTGTAAGCTTTTGAATTTTTTTTTTTTGAGAATTTTAAGATGGGAAACACGTTCCTAGCTAAACAATTGCTCTTGGCATTTCTGTTTTGTAAAAAAACCCACACAACAGTAGTAATTTTAATGAGCAACTCCCTTCCCCAACCTATTGAGTCAAATGTTCACGAAAGTAACTTCCAATCAAGGCACAAAATCATTTACTCTTTTCTCACTGCTTTCTTCACATTCTCCCCTTCCCCCTAAAAAAAAAGTTGGTGTAACAATGTCTTCTATACCAGACATTAAATTTAATAGTCCAATAAGTTGTAGCAGTATCTGAGATAGGTTCTATCTGTTTTGAATTTAGTTAGATTAGATGAACAGCACATTCTCAGCACATCTTTGTTCATTTTCTGCATTTGCCTTGAAGGGGAGGGGATGAGGGAGAGAAGCCACGGTAGTTTCATGCATATTTTTCAAGAAACTTTATGTGGAAGTCTTTCACTTTCTCCAGTAGGATCTTCAGCTTCTCTACTGGAGGAAGGATGGTCATTCTGAAAAATAACATTTAAAGGAAGAAAAAAAACCAACCCACATCATTATCTTCAAAACAAACCAAACTGTGATTTTTGCACAGGTCTGATGATCCTCACGGCACAGCTAGTTATGAGTTTCTATCTGTTTTGATGTGATTTTCTTATTTTCTGCATTTATGCTTTAACTGAACTATACTATTAAACTAGAGCAATTTGTTTCAACTGGCTTCTATATATTGAAGAATCATTGAGTGACAAAGAAGGTTATCAGTAAGAAAAAACTGGCCCCAAAATGGAAACTGAGTTGCTGTTATGCCAAATTATACCCATTTTTCTGAGCTTTAGGATCAGGCAGTTATGAGTAAATGTACATGTCTTTTTGAACTGAAAACTTAATTTAGAAGCATTAAATCAACACAACATGCTACACTGCAGTTTTTAGTCCCTTTTTTCCTTCTGCATAATCTCAAAATCACATTGAGTATGTATGCAAGACTGTATGCGAGACCTACAGAACAAAATGTTTTTCCCACACTGGTACAGGAATGGACTCACGCTAGGTTTTTGCTGGAGCTGCATGCACACCGATATCTTGCCCAGCTATCTGTGTTGCAGAACTATCACGGCTAAAGGTACCCTCTGTTATTTTGCTTCAGACCAAACAAGACTAAATTCTGTGACAAATTCCAGCTATCAGTGGCTCAGCTGGAGTAAAGTGCTGTTCATTAGAAGCAAAAGCAATAGAGTTTACGTTCACAGTTTTGGTATCAGAAGATTTAGTCCAACATCTTGTTTTGGTAAAGTGAAGAGTTATTCACCATGTTTAAGGAGCAGATTTACTGGGAAGATACTATATCTTTCATGGAGTTTCTGCATATGGAAACACTTTTATCCCCCCTGCCCCCAAAAGAAAGCAGGGCAATTTTTGTAATGCCTTAGCCAACTTTAAAGTTAGAGTATAAGCTATTATTATTGGTTGTATTAATGGAGAAGGCATTTCAAATGTCAGCGTATAAAAATAGAATAAAACTATGTCAGCAAGCCGTGAAAACACTGTAAAAACCTGAATAGCTCATCTAGCAGACCAGGTCTTTGACATAGCTGTCAGTCCACGCTCATCTAGCAGACCAGGTCTTTGACATTGCTGTCCACAGAAAATGTCCAGTAGGAAGTGAGACAACATAAACTGAAATAAAAATCCTTATATTTAATCAGAAGAGAAAGTACTGGGATGGTAGTTAGCTTATTACAGTTCATTTGATTTTAAAAAACCAGAAACTGTACCTGAAATGGTAGCTTCCTTCTCTTTGGCCAAATCCACTTCCAGGTACAACACATATTCCGGTCTCTTCCAGAAGTTTCATGCAATAGAACATATCAGGTGCCATTTTGTGAGCCTAAGGGAATGGATGCTTTGGAATTACTGAAGTAAAAATATTCCACAAATATTGAATTTCATGATTGCTTTTCTTCCTGAAACCTTATCTTACATTATTAGTTTCTTACCCCATTTACTAAAGAAGCTGAAAAACAATTGCTAGTGGGACAGTTCACACTGTGAACTAAATAACAGTACTTCATGGAGGAACAAGGCTGAAGAATCTACACAAAACATTTGCTTCAAAAGAGAGGTTTTAGATATTTTTGGTTTTCTCCTTGACTTCCTTGTAACTTTTTGTCAAAAGTCTTAAAACTGTACTTAAAAAAATCTAAGCCACTGACATTTGACAAGATGAAATTAATTTGAGAGCTGTGTGTTCCAGTTCCGTTGGCAGTTACTATTTTTTTCCCCTGAATTATCTGCTGACTAGAAAGTCCCCTGATTAATAAGTATGGAAGTTCTTAAATACATGCAGGTTGTATGCCTAATCAAATAATCAGCTGGAAAACAGCCCTATTTTTGTCCCTCAGCTATGCTGATAAAATTCCCTTTTAAAACCAAACATTACACATTAGGTAATACAGCTCTAGTTAGAAACAAAAAGACTTGTAATTTGGTAATACAAGCTCTAGTTAGAAACAAAAAGACTTGTTACTTGCTTACTGACCCAAATACAAAAAGGTATTGTACACAAGTCAAATTGGTAAGGAAACCTCCTCCCTCTTTCCCACAGTTGCTGAATGGGGCTTCTTTTGCAGGGCCAGCAGCACACTGCCATTCGCAGTGCCTGTCACACGTGCTGGCCTGCCTAACCCAGGCACGGGCAGCAATTTGGAATTTGCACAGGACCAGCTACTTGCCCACCCTGTGACTTAATCTATTTAACACTAACGTCCTTGGGTAACATTCTCAACCTGGGAGCCTTACCACTCTGATGAAATGCTCTGTTTGGTTTTCCTCTCTTAAAATAAAGGTCATGTTATATTCAAGATCATACGTACTCAATGAGGTGCTGCTTTTGTAACTACATGAGCTTACTCTATCTCTGGAATAAAAATTAATCATTAGAACTGTCCGGCACAAGTGTGTGAAGGTTAAAATGGATCGGGGTAAAAATGACTGACTGACCTTTGCTTCCTCAATGGCTTTGGAAGGAATAAAGATGCGTGGGAAAGCATACATAGCTCCTTGAAGTGGATTGCAGTGAATTCCTGGTACCTTGTTAAACATGTCTTCTGTTAGTTTGGCTTTTTTGGCGAGATTGTTCAAAACAGATTCCTTCTCCTGTTAAAAAGGAAGGTGTTCAGTTTGACATATTTGAAGTGGTGATAAAAATGCCAGAGAAAACTCTGATGGATGCTTCAAGAAGCCTTCCCTGAATTATGCACTTTTAGGGCTTTGCTGAGCTATTACAGCAAGCGATGTTCCTAATTCCAGTCATACTCCTAGAGACAGCAATCCAAAAAGGCATTAGCAGGATACAACTGCAAAGTGTTGCAGATAGACAATAACCTGCAGAAGTCTCTATCTGCATGCCCTCTTCCTACATTCTTCCTTCTGAGCATTGACTCTTGGCAATTTTTAGAGAACATGTTAGCCAAACCTTTGATCTGACTCAATACTGTTATTTCTTAAGCCAGACTCAGTTTCATTTTTACAAGTGACGAACTGCATGTATACTTAAATACAGAATACCATGTCGTTCAATATATAGAGGCACTGGATACCTAAGAATAAGGCTGATTTTATAACTGTATTTGAACTTGCATATCTATTTAGATTTTCATAAAAGCAAATCTTACTTAGTAATTCTTTTGTCATGCTAAACACAGGAGAAAAGTTGAATTTATCAACAAGAAAGCTAATTTGATAATGCCGCCTTAGGTTTTTTGTCTCCTAAACAAAGGAACTGTAAAGGGAATTAGAAGTATTTTTAAAAGTAGTCATATTGAGTTAATTTAAAATACCCTGCACAGTTCTGTAAATTGGTGTTATTACAGGATTGTCTGAGAAGAAAGGAAAGAAGCCTGGTCTCAGCGCATGTTTTGAGTTCACAATACTTAGGACAGGTTTAGGAAACATGCAAAAGAACAGGCATGTTATTGCTGACCTTTATGAACTGTGAATAAGACTCTTCTCCAGGAATCGGAGGATTCACTACAATGTCCATTGCTGCTTGTCCTGAGACTGGAGGACAAAGTCGAACAGAAAGCAGCTTAACAAGCTGTCCTTTAATTTCTGGGTGCAAGTTAATGACCTCCATGTAACCTCCTCTGTAGCCGCATCTGATTAAAGTGAACAGAAAAGATCAGTTAACCTCAAGTGTATAAATACTGGAAAAGCAATGAAAATAACTGCAGCAGTGGAAAGACAATAAGGATCTTACAATATGTAACATACAGGTTGTTGAAACAGCTGCTATACTGATGTTTTAAGATGGAACTAAATTATTTGTCATTAAGCCCTAATATCCCATACAGAGAAAGTCATGTACATGCAGCTTCCCTGTCAGGCAAGTTAACAACTAACTTGGGTTGTTTGCTCTTCAGAACGAGACCGTATGGCTGTAGCAGCATTCATTTAGTCAGAAAATTATTTTTCTTCCATCTCTTCCTCCCCAAAACAAGCAAACCCAAACATAGGTAGTATCAAACATCCCAGTGATTCCTGAGCGGTTCCCTTGAATGTTGGAGACTGTATTTTCCTTTATCACAGGTCCGGTTTAGGACTGTAGAAATTCGCCTTTGTGGAACTGAGGCTTTAGCTGTCTGAAATAAATACACTTATTATTCGGTAGTTTGAAAACCACTGAGCTAATCCGTTACTCTGTGCCTTAAATGCTGTTTTCCTTTTCTTAATGGTTTTTAGTTAAAATTAATAGAAGACAGAGGATTACCTTCAGGTCACTAATATGAAACGGCTGTCCAACCAGATTAATGAGGAAGATGAAATAAAAAAAAAACTAAAGCAGACTTACTCGCCCATGTATCCCTTAGAGGTGGAGTGAAAAGAGGCCAGCTCAACATTGTTATAGTACTCGGGTCCCATCTCATACAGAATCTTTTTGAAAGAATGAAACTGGCATCCTTCAGAGTACACATTGTCCTGGTAAACCTGAACAGTCAGAAGACATTAATGTGCTCTGTTCCCCCAACTAAGGATAAAAGGTGGCCCTTTAGGGACCCAGTGGTAACACTTGAAACTTAAAGCCCTTAGAAGACACAAGGTTCTTTGTTAAGTAATAGTTACTGTAGTGATACATTTTATCTCATGTGGTCATAGTTAATAGTTTAGCCTTTGGAAGAACAGAGGGCTTCTTTGTATAATTTAACCTTTACTTGTATGTTTAAATTGATTTTCTTTCTGTTTCTTTCATTTGAAGCTGTCCGAGTATCACATAGGTTTTTAGGTGAGTTCCAGCAAAGTTCCTCCTTGTGTCTCCTTGCTTGAGTCCCCTACACTTTCTCTCTAGTTAAAATGCAGATCAAGCCACCTCTCACAGTAATCCTCTGATATTAAGAATCTTGCATGTTTGTTCAGGTCTTAATATGATAACAGACAATCTGTTCCCTGTGCTTAAAAAATACCAATACCACTCATAGAACAAAATTACACTTCATATGCATACTCTTAGCCGTGCTTTTGAGAGAACGGAGTATTCCATTACCTCATCAGCCAGCAGAAAAAGTTTCTCTTCCCAGGCAAAGTGTATCACATCTTCAATGCACTTTCTGTTTTGCACCTGTCCTATAGTTCGATTTTTAAAGCAAGAGACAGTTAGTGGAGCATATATATACAAATCTTTTTGCCCAGACCTAGTAAGACTACTAGCTTTTCAGTAAGATATCCCTCTTTCTCAGAAAAGTGCTATTGAATTTTAGAATTCAGTTCACTAAGTATGAAATTAAAAAACATTTTTGGAGGAATTATGGTTCAAGATAACTTAGTCCATCTCACGCAAAGGAAGTGAGATACAGTAATCAATAACTTATTATGAGTACTCTGTGTATAACATCAGTTGAAGTACTCACATGCATGATGGTTAAGTGGGAGCTAGTTTCTCACTAATCAACCTCAACTACTCAAAAAACTAAATTCTTCTGAGGGATGCAGTGATTGCCACTGAGTTCAGAGTATATCTGTAGTCATTGCCTCAAAGAGGCAAAAGGCTACAGACCATGACAGAAACAAGGTCTTTGATAAAGACCGAAAGCGACTGAAAGTCATTCCACAAGTCTGCAAAAGTTCGGTGGAAGCAGTGGTTTCAAATGGGATCCGGTGAAGTGAATCTGCTCCCTCCTCTCTTCCCAAATCCCTGGAGTTCCATGATACTGAAAATAAGTTTCTAAAAGCATGACATACTGTCCTACTTAGAGCACTGATCTCTAGAATTCAGCTTTACATATTTGATATGTATTTAGGATTTGCCTGCAATGACAAATGAATAAAAGAGGGAAAAAAATTGGTCTTAAAACCCATCCATTAACCAAATTTGCTATAGACCTGTGGGATTTCCAGGGTTGATGATGCAGAGAACTTTCGGATTGCAATATGCCTTAGCTTCATTCAAGGAACGGCGAAGTTCGTTCACATCTAGAGCCCAGCAATTTTCTTCATCCAAATAGTAGTTCACCTGGATAGCATCTAGTTCAGATATGGCTGCTGAATATAAGGGATATTGTGGTATAGGGATCATCACTCCTGTTCGGGATTTTCCACCTCCTGAGACCAGGATCTTTAAAATTGTCTGGGGAAAAAGTAGGATTAAAAAAAAAGTCACACCCCAGAATTAATAGTATACTCTAGAATAATTTACTGATCGTCCTTCTTAAAAAAATGTAGAGTTAAGGTAGATTTCTATTCTAGAAGCATACAGCCTTTTTCTCCTATCAAAGGGCATTTCAAGTTACTGGCTGAGTGAGGATGGCCTAACTCAGCTCAATGGAATTCCTCTGCATGTCATGGCTTCTAAAGAGCATGTCTGATCAACTGCAAAATTTAGGAAAAACATTCTGAGCACAAGGCCAGAGGGAAAGTTGGAAACAGGAACATCAAGATCATGATTTTTCTGCTGTGCTCAGTTGTAAGCAAAGAAGTGTCAGCTAGTTGTTGCTTGTTGCCTTCCACTCATTTTATCTCACTAAACACAAGAGGCCAGTAAATAGAAGCAGAAATTAGAACTGAGGCCTGTGGAGGTTCTCCTTTGGAATGGAGACCATTTTTAGATTAGGAGGAATTGTGGCCTGGTGGGAACAAAGCTGGAGACTTGAATTATGGTTTCATTTTCAAGTAGTAGAAGAGACCAGAAATCTACATGTGCTTGAGATGGAAATCTAATGTATCACATGTAGTTTATGCCCAGAAGATGGAGACAGAAATGTAATGCTTGTGCTAAAGTCAGCCCAGAGGATTTACCTGTGCCCAGCAGCTGTGTGTGTCTACGTGTAGGCTTTTTACATGTGCATTAAATAAAAGAGTGCATTTGGTACAGGAAGTGGAGAGATTTCTTGCTTTCTCCTTTCAAGGGAGAACTCTGAAGTACAGGTGCACCCAAAGCAGGCATCTTTATCAACATGTAATTGATGGTGTGAAAACAAAAATATCTCTTCAGATATAACAGTGGTATCCTTTAAGTTTCTTGTTGGTTCTAGAACCAAATCTGCCTTTCTGTGCCTCTCATCACATACTAACTCAGCCGCTAAGCTCATGATTTATAATCAACATAATTTTGTACCCACCACTAGTTTAAAAATACCAAGCATCAAAAATGTATAATCAGGACCAAATGCAAATTTAAAAATTTTTTAACACCCTCTCTCCCCCAAGTTACTAAATAGTTGTATTATGCTTGGAAGTGCCAAATAATGAGACTTATTGTATTGTTGACTTTTCATCACTGGTGAAATCAAATAAGCATGGTACGGATTTGATATGCTACACTGCCACTCCTGACAAGCTGCCAGTGTAACGCTTGGCATCATAAACTCTGGAAAGCCAATTCACTAAAGACATCTGAAGAACTCCTCGTCAGAACATTGTCATTCTGAACTCTGCCACTAGATGTCATTTAAAAAACCCCCACTTTTACAAACAAGCTATAAAAGTCTGCCTTAATAAAAGCAAAGAACTGCTGGTTGTTGTAGTATCAGTAAATGTCTCTGTGTAAAGGAAAAATCTAATAGACAGTTATTCCTGTCTTAACTGGAGACCATCTTTGAACCTTAGCTGAAGCCAAAACCTGAAGTTTTTCCTAAACAAGCCAGCTACTGAAATAGATCTTTGGGATTTTTACTGGTGTTATTCTGCACTAGGAGAGAGTTTACTACGAAGAAGAGATGCTGAGACTTCTCACCTCCAAGGTCATTTCCTCTTCTCTTTGCCACTGATTCATGTCCCCTAATCTTCAGTGCTTATATATCTTAACCACTGAGGACACCATAATTTAGTCTCAATAGTCTGAATCTCCTAAATTTACATTTAGGCACCTATGTAGTTTATACTACCTTTACAAAAGCTAAAGTTAACGTATATTAAGAGAACTTTTTTCCATGCGCCTGTTTCTTAGCTGGCATCTTACATCCACATAATTGGGTGTATTGGATATCCACTTAGTGTGACTTCAGTATCTGTTAGATCAAACTCACAGGAGTCTGTGAGACCAAATGTTCAACAGAGATCCGTATTTACAAAGATAACTGATAAATTATTGTTTATACCAAGAAGAGACAGGTTTAATTTTAACACTTACAGCAATACCGTCACTTGCCCCAGTGGTAAGATATATGTTATCTGGATCTGCAGGAACCCCTCCATCTCTTCTTTCAATATATGAAGCAACATCTTCACGGATGCAATTTATACCTTGACTGGCACTGTAAGATCCTGTGAAAAGTAGAGAATGAGATGAGAATTGAGTACCACGAACATCAGATTTCCTGTTTGTTAGCAGAACATCTGAGCTAGTATTGTATGAAGTAGCTTGTCTATATGAGGGCTTTGGATCCCCAGGATTGGGTTTTTTTTTTCAAGGAGTAGGAAAGGGAGTTGGTTTGTTCATAAAGCAAAGGAATTCATTTGGAATTAGACAAATGTATTAAGTATCACTAAAATACAAAAATAATACCCTGAATTGGTAAAAACTAGGATTTAAAGGCTATTTTGCAAACTGGGACAGCAATCTCATTTTCACTATCTCCCAGTTGCTTTCTTTATGTTAAAAACCACTTCAGAATGTCAACCAAGAACTATTTAAGTAATGGGAACAAGGAACAGAGGCAGCACGTGCAATAGAAAGGAAAATAACTTCTTCAAATCCATGACAAAAATAAGACTTCTATTTGCAATATGAAAATAATAAAATACCATTTTCTGCCACAGTCTGAAACCCAAAAAATCCTAAACTGCTTCTCTCTCCCCCCAGCATCTCCCACAATCGCTTTTCAGTTACTTGTAGCAGAAACATCTACGATGCTCCCAGTCTATAAGCCTCACGTGCAGTTTACACAGCACAACTAATAATCTTAAATAAAGTGAGATATTAGATGCCTGTGTGCATCATTGCTGAGCACGTGCAACAGATAAAGAGTAAAAATAAGCCTAAGCCAAGGTGAGGAATGGATTCAAGCTATGAAGCCTAAGACTGATGGACAATGAAGTGACAAGTGTATATCTAATTTGGAACACTGTCATGAAGCTGCAGAATCTTCTTTGCTTGTTGGACGGAGTGGAATAATTGTGCCTGACTTAACTCTCCGCACTCAGTTATATGCTAGTAGTCTGCCTGATGATACTTCTGTGAAAGCATAATTTATAAAGACAAAGAACCTTTGCAAGTACTGCACAATCACATGGGACAAAATGGTAATTCAGGGCACAAAGTTCCATGATGTCCTAAACATTTACTTTTACAGGACTAAAAGTTATATCGGGTCTATACATGAGTCTTTGACCACAGCGAGGAAGCTGCTGTTAAAGTAGGAGAACAAACATAAGCTGTCACTCTGTCATGTGCTCCATTGAGGGCTGAGTCCCATGGCTAAGTGAGGATATACAGAAGACCTGAATTCGATTTTCAGGTCTTCTACACTTAATTGTATTCAATTGATAGCTTTGACTAGAACCCATCTGTTTGCATTGTGGGATGCAAATAAATAAACCCAACCCCAAAAGCTGCATGTGCGTATATTAGATATTTTTATATATAGGAGAGGGGTAAATTTCTCAACTGCCTGGAAAGATGACAGCTCTCCCACATGCAAAGTAAGTGATGTCAAAGGAATCCCAGAGTATTTGAACACAACAGAAGTCAAGGACATATCTTAGCTTTCCTATATGGTCAATACTGTTAGTAGGGTTTTGCCAAATGAACGTTCATTGGAAGTGCAGTTATCCTAGTTCATATCCAGAGCTCAAGACATCCATATTAACTTTGCATTTAATACATTAAAATAGGCCAGTATAGATGTGGGTACAATGCTTCAAATAGCTTGACCGTATGTAGTGAAGCCCCTTCTGTGTTGCATTGACATATTTTTTGAAAAAAAGAAAGGTTTTATTAGAACACAACACAGCACTTAAAGTTACCTGGAGGGATCATTTTTTGACCTTTGCTTTTTCCCAAGAAAGCCAATTTCTCCTTTTCAGCCACAAAGAGAACAGCAGCAAGTTGTCAGACTACCAACAAAGTGATAGGATTAACTTCCATTCAGCTGCACATCCACTTGCCTCAGACTGCGTGTTTATGGAGGCTGATGAGCAACTGAGGCTAAGAGAAGGGGCTGATATATGATACTGGAGACAGGGAGGGTGGAGAGAAGGCATCAACCAGTACAGCAGATCAGTAAGGTCTACAGTGGTTTTAGTTTTCAGGAGCTTAGAGGGACGGTTGTTCTTGGTACATATCATATCAGGAAAAAAATTAGACTCCAGTTACTTACAGAACTTCGATTTATCCACTGAAATTAAAAGGGTGTTTTCAGAATGACCATCTTATTTGAATATTGCAACTGTTTCAGGCCTACTTCCTCAGGGTCTACTGAGCTAGTGCAAAATACTTGAAAAATGTGATCTTCTGCTGAAAAGGGGATTTTGTACAGAGTCAACACATTTCTGAAACATCATGCAAGGCTGAACTCCTTTCATTTTACCCCAGCATGGGGCCAAGACCCAGCATTCTGACAACTCTTACCATGTCCCTGAATTGGAAAATGACTGCAAAGACAGACTTAGGCAAAATTCAAATGTATCCCCAGTAACTCTTATATGACAACTAGCACTATGTGGATTAATTGTTCCAAAGTAAGCCAGGAAAGGAATTCATGGAGCTGGAGGAACTTAGCAGTTCTGATAAATGTATTTTTAATGTTCTACATCTAGAAACAAAATCAATGCAAAAAAGGTGAAGAAAAAATACATTCCGTATTAAGCTGTGTTGAGAGGAATAGTCCAAGGCTGAAATACTGCTAACGTAACCACTATTTAGGTTTTGTTTATTTTATTAAGTTTCACAGTACCTAATCTCTAAATATGCCAGTGCAAATAGGCACTGCAATCACAAAGATTAAGAAATATGCAGTTACTCTAATACGTACTCTGCAATGTCAATGTTAGCCTACCTGAAAGAAGGTAATTAAGCGTGCCAGATTCTTTGCCATACCCAGCAGCTGTAACACTATCTGCAGAGTAGAAATTCTAGTGGCATTTCCCAGGTACAAGTAGGCAGTACAGTTGCTAGATGATAAAGAATCTATCTCTTCCATTTCCTCTCTACTGAACAGGCAAAGTTTGTGCTTATTTATGTGTATATTATATGTATACTCTTGCAGGAACAGTGGCTGAAGAATAGAGTTCTTTAGTTTTTTCAAGCGTTATTTTACCTTGGAGAAATGGGGCTTTGGCATCTTCAGTTAAAAGTATCTCGGCTAAGCAAAAAGCTACCACCTTTCAGCTGTGTAGCTTTCCCTTTGCAGAGCATTATCGCCTGAGTTTCTGATACCCCAGTTCGCATCCTGACAAACATACTTGGACTGATGGTTCAAGATTAAGAAACAGGACTGTGAGCTGGATCAGCTGAGATGAACACATTATTTGTTGATACCATGGTTTCAGGGACAGTAGACTCTTTGGCAGAGAAACATCTAGAGATGATAAAATTGTAAATAGCCCCAACTAGACTTAGCAGGAGACATAGCTGTCAGAGCCCAGGATTAACAGATGTCATAAGAACAGTGACAAAGGTTCACTAGTACTCGCTGCCACTTACTTTTCTAATACAAAAAAGCTCAGCATTCTGTTTAGGGTTATGCCTAGGTATTATTGCCATGAAGGCTCCGTAACTGTATAATCCTCATCTCGTCCTCTTCTGTGACAAGTCTCATCAAAAATTTGCACTATTAGTCACTGCTTATCAGTAGGTCACACTATGAACTCTCCCCCGATCATTTTGCCCTAGGCCATCTCCCATTTGACTTGTAATCATATAAAATGTGATGAAGAAAATTCAGCACTTCAGATATTGAAACTACCTTTGTTGATTTTAGTACCAACAGGAGCAAATGAAACAGACGCTTACCTAAACTGTTTCCTCCACAACCCTGCAAGATCCGTCTGGCTCGCTTTTTGGCATCTTCTGGAAAACTTGGGCTGTCCAACAGGTTTGGGTATGTACACAGTGCCACTACCTAGAGTGCCAAGAAAATGTAAATTGGCCAGTAATATTACCAACTTACTTTAAGTTGGTAATATTACTGTTAACTTTCCTTGGAAATGAAGACCACAAATACTAGCTCATTTAAAACAAAGGTTATATATGAAGAGTTTGCAGTTGTTTTTCTAACAATAGTGCTTACAGAGGTGAAGAAATCTTATCGGGTTCCAAGTTCTGCTGATAAAAACAGTTATAGAATTGTTAACTGTTTGTGTTACAGACATTGAAGATTGGAGTCCAAGTGAACTATGCATAGTGCAAACACAGTAAAACACAGTTAATTATTCATATGTTATCTCTAAACAGCTCTATCCTCCACTCTTTGTGTATTACTAGCCCACTTTAATGACAAGAAACCAAGAGTTTAAATATGGAGCAGAACTGAGAAATACGATCAAATTTTGAAGTCCCAGTTGCATGTTCTAATAATCCTTCCCCAAAATAACTTATAGTTATTACTAATTTGGATATGTAGGAAATATTTAATTAATAAAGAAGTGGTGATATAGAACATAGTAAAAGTAGAAACATGACCTAGCAGAATAAAGTTTAAGAAGGAATGTAAGACACAAAGAATCTAGAGGTCTTGCTTGAGATTGGCTTAATTTGTTCCAATCTCTCTCTCATTTTTATGCTTACATGGTGTAATGTGGATAGGCTGTTGTCATTTTGTGGGACAATGACTAAGGAATCCGTGTGTGCACACAGTCATGGGGAGAATGGATTTCCCATTTACCCAGTATTTTCTTCAATAACATCAGATCTGAATAATTTGTAAGAAGTTCTGGTCTTCCTAGTTTGCTGACAGTTTGCTGTACAGCTCAATTTTATAATGTCATCACCTGGACCCCTAGTTTGATACGGCTTCAGTTTGTCCTGCAACTCTCTGAATTTACATTATTGTAGACTGAGGATTTTACATGTGTGTGTAAGGAATGCTCAGCAAATAGTGTAATACTAGTTTTAAACCTTGCTTGTGTTTTAGGAATAATATACAAATGCGGATTCTGTTGTAGTCTTTCCTAAAAGTTAATCTACCACTTAGCTTGCCCAGAGGTAAAATGTGCAAAATCAGCAACAGTACAACTAGTTGTAACCAACCGCGTGCAGATCTTAAAGTATACTGTGAGATGAAGAAAGGCATTTGCTTTTTTCTTTGGGGACAATCACTTTATTTTTTGAAGTACATTATTGATAACGAACGTGCTGACTGATAACATAAGAGAAGTGGCAGGCAAAAGTATGGATGGGGAATGATCTGAAAAGTAAGGAAAGCTACTGTGTTGAACAAGGACACTCGGCAAGCAAGGTATAGGACTTCGCCTCAGAAACCAAAAGTTGTAATTCTGTACGAAAGAACTGTTTTAAGTCTAACTGCATCTAGGGAATCATTTATACTAATACACACAGCAGTTTTTAAGGGATTCTTGGTAATCTGGTAAGAAATCAGTAATAATATTTTATAATATTCTTACCTGACGGAGGAAGGTGATTGGCCTCTGTCCCATTGCATGTGCATCTCCAATGTTGGCTTTAATTACTTCAGTAAAAGGTTTTTTGATTCCCTAAAAAGAATTAATTCACAATGTACTGTTAGGGCTGAAGTTGATGATAAGGAATTCCTCTTTTTTGGTATCTGTCTTATGTCTGCAACTAAACAGTGCCCAATCTCAGAACAGATACAGTGTTTAATGTAAAGTTTAATGCATTTCTTACACAATACTGCCAGTGAATCTAAAATGCTTTACAGAAATGATGTTCACTCTGACACATTTTCAAATTATAGGGTGGGTTTTTTTTTGTGCTAGCTACAAGCAACAGATTGACTTGCCTGGGAACTACACATTGAAGTAGAAAAGATGAAAAAGAGGCATTTTGAATTGTCAGTATTAGAGCAACTTGTTTGATACCAAGAAGGGAGGGATGGATCAGTCAAGAAGCTAAAAAGATTTGAGGACATTTGAGAAATCCACCAACAAAAGAACCCTCAAGACCTTTAGTACTTTTTACAGTAAAAAGTGTAAAGATACTGCTTGTATATTTATTTTCTATTTAGATGAAATATTCATTGGGTGATGACCCCACTTTTCCATATACAGACGTTTTACAAAGTGTATCATAGTGACGCTCTATATGATAAACAGCAGAAGTGCTAAATAATCACCATGAATATTTAAAAGTTTCCTAATCTCTGAAATCTGAACAGACAGCCATTTTTCCCGAGGAACTGAATACATCATGAGAACAGGGGAAAACAGTTGATGAATCTTGATTAGCAATCACAGCTCTTTAAAAAGCAAAGTGAAGTAAGGCCAAAAAGGCAAGGAACTGACTGGTAGAAAAAAACCACCCCTGATTTAAATAAAAAAGATAACTGAAAGTAAAGGCCAACATTACATGAAGAATAAATGAGGTAGGCAAGAACAAATTTATAGCTTTTCTGATGTATACTTAAGTATGAGAGATGGTAGGGAGGCTTTCTAACAGTGACCAAATTTTCATGTGGACAAATGAACTGCAGAATTAGGCCGATTACTCTTCTGTACGAAATTACATATAACAAGCTCCTCTAGCTGTGGATTGAACTCACAAAGCCTCTTCCTGGCCCATGTATTTACCGCAAGTTATTGGCTTTGGATATAGAATGTGTGGCTGGTAAGCCTTCACTAATTTTTGCTTTTCTACCATGGATTATGTGTTGGACTTCAATGACAGACCGGAACCCAGATGTGCAAAGATAATAATAACCAAAATATTGGTAGCCACCAGGGATACAAATTCCCAGGTATGCCAAGATTTGGAGGTTTACAGCTGCATAATGCAGCTGCGAGGTTATGTGATAATGTGATTCAAATCCAGTCCACCATATAACTGATACCATTTAGGTTTTCCTTTTGAAATTAAATAGATAGTTAGAAGTGGCATTAAAACAAGACAATTGGACTTACATGATCCTGACTCAAAAGGGTCAATTTTATATGGCCTTACATTTAGCAGGAATTGAAGAAAAAAATTCACTTAAAATAATGGAAAGCGACACACTGACTCCATCAAGTCATTTGCTTTTATGTTTCCTGATCTAACTGAGTGCCTCAACAAGAGCTGTATTTCAACCTTAAATAAGGAACTAGGAATAGCGATGCCAGATAAAGATTACAGGTATCTGAGGCTGAAGTTTAGCAATTTATGAGAAGTGCAAACAGCTAGAAATGGATTCTCTTCAAACTATCTGGGGTCCACTGATAACACAGCATTGTTTCATTCTAATTTACAAATAAGCAAGAAAGGAAAGATACGTGTAGAAGGAGAACAAATTCAGTTTGCATTAAATTAAGAAAAATTCCCACATATTTTGATTGCATTTGGTCCTTCTTACAGCAAACTGAATTAGTCTCACTAGATTTGCACAGTAATACAAATTTGTTAAAGAATAAGGGGTGCCTTAAGTTAGGCAGTCTAAAAAAACATAGCAGTTCTCAGCAGTCAGATGAAACAGAAATACCCTGTTTTACCAGATTAAAAACACAACAAACAAAGCCACTAACAACATAGATATAGTTATGTTAGACAAATTAGATAGCTTTTGCACACAAATACTATTGTGATCTGCAATAAAAAATAGTTGTTTCTTTGGTTAGTGAAAAGCTGAGAAGTACCCTGCATTTCATAATGTACCTTTGGAGTTTCGGTAGTGGTACAGCCTTTACAGCAAAAGTAACAGACCTTTTTGGCGTCTGTGTCTGGTTTATTGTAAATAATGTGATAGCTTATTAGCGTTGATACCATTCAGATCTCTGCTACTGCCAAACTCGGTGTTTGTGCCATCACTGCTTTTGGGCATCAACTGCAAGTACATAATCATCACCTACTCCATTAACCCCACACTACCTTTGCTACTAAAATGATTGATCTGGAGAAAATAGAAAAACATACATAACAGTTATCTTACTGTAAAATCCTGGTAGAGAAAGAATAATTAGGTTTTCTCTGTTGCACAGAGTGTTCCCACAGACCTGCTTAAAGGCCCGTGGTCCTCTTGACTAACTTGTGTTTCTTGGTCTCAGCTACAAGAGCTGTTGCCTGTTTTGTCTTTCAAAAGAGAGATGAGATGCTGGGCCCTTTGCCTTCCCTGACAGTGAGTTAATATCAGCAATTGTTTAGCACTGTCTGCATGAGATTCACTACATCCCCTCCTAGTGAAATCTAGAAAAAAAATGTTACGACTACTTAGGTTTTTTCTCATCTTTTTCTATTACTTGATTTCCAGCCTTTCTATGGAAAGAAGGAATATCAGAAGTTGTTCAGGTTTAGTTTTGATTCCTCCAGAACAAAAAGTCCCATCTTACCCCTTCAGAAAGAGCGAACAGGAAACAGTAACAGGCAAGAACAAGTGTTGAATGCTAATGAGTCAAAGTTTCAAAGCAAGAATATCAGAAGCTGGCATCAAGGGAAGTCTAGACAGTGCCTATGACTCTGCAGATGAGTTCAAGGTGGAATTCTACTTAAATCCTTAAGACAGAGCAGCATTAGCTGCTGGTTACTTGTGTCAGGGTTTTTCCTATGGTGGTGGCACTGGTGTGCATGGGTATCCAAGGGAAGATTAATGTGAAATACTTCTTGGAAGGTGTATGAAAGGAAGAAATGTGAATGTGATGTTGATAACTTCAGCATCAGGTTGTAGAACAGCAGGAAAAGTGCTGCAAGAGAACATAGTTTGTTAGGGCAAGATTTATTTCACTGCAGAAGGCTAAGCAGTCTTTGACCATGTCAGCAACATGCCTGTGCTGAGACAATTTAAGTCCCTGGTAAGCCAAGGAACATACAGGGGGAGCAGAAACTAGGTCATTGGAATTGTTTTGCTTTCTTCTAGCGATAGAGAGCTGCCCCTCCACCCCACTTCTCTCTTTATCATATTCCCTCTCTCGCTCTCTTCCCTCAGTACCGGCAGGCTTTCAAGGTGTGTTCTAGAGGCAGGCTGACTGGATTGTAACTGGCCTCTGCCAGCAGGCAGAGATTTGGAAAAGTGAAGCTTGTAGAACAGGAGCTCTAATAACAAACTCGAGAGCAGTAAGTACCAGATTGATACTCGTGTTTACTGACGAGAGTATGAACCACATCAAGGAGGAAAAACAATCCCCAGCCCTACAAAACAACCACTGCTACAGCCTTCTGTCTTTGGTGGCACCTCATGCTGTCCTAACACCATGATTCATCTTCATCTTGGGAACAAAGCCAATCTTCTGCCATTCTTTTGAAATTGTTAGCAAAGGGACTAATTGCAGTAGCCATTTTTAAAGCTGAAGAAGCCATCTTGCACTTTCAAATTCAGATGTAAAGCAGAAAATATAAAAATGTATTAGTTTGGGTTTTTTTCTGGTTGCTGTCTTCTTGGTAATGAAAGGATTTTAATTGAATAAAGGAGTATTCCCAGATTTGGAATAAGCTCTTTGGAAATTCCTTCAGCAGTTACTTCTGTCACTCTCCTCTCCTCAGAGGAAATGCAGCCTTTTAAGAGACCAGATGAAAAGCCTCTGAAACTTGAAGCAGGTCGGAGAAGATTATTCTAAGTATCACACAAAGTTGGGAGAAAGGATTTTCACATGTGAACCAGAATTCGTTGGTGCAGTGTGAATACAAATCTTTATGTAGTTAACCAGGTTTGGAGAAGCTTCTTCTTCCCCTACATATCCCCACACCCTCAAGAAACCCAGCGGGTAAGGACTGCAGGATGAAACGATGAGCTGTCTCTCAAGGAGAGATTCACCATGCAAGAAGCATTGGGAGAATTATTTGATCAAAGAAACGATATGATGGCGGAACACGCACTATCCCAAAGAACTAACAGGAAGGCAATGCGCTGCCAGGAGCTGGCATGTCTCTTAGGAGTTTTCGTATGCCTTTTTACTATACCTTTACGCTGGCGCCATCTAAGAATGCTGGCAAATTGCAAAATAACACTGTGCCCAGAAAAAGTAAAGAAGGGTGCAAACGGACCTATACCTGTCTTTGCTAAAGTCTTGAGCAAATTTCAGAGAAAACCCCTCAGTCCGTAGAGAGGCTTGTGTGATTTGGATTTGGTAACGGCAATAGGAAAGAATTGAAAAGAGTTCCCTTGAGGAGGCCATGAAAATGTGTGGTGCTTTTAATCCCAGAGGAGCAACATGGTATTTCAGCTATTTCTGAATTCCAGAATTTGCCCATTCTTGACTGCTCCTCACTGTTTCATTTTCATTGCCATTGCTTCATGCCTCCTCTTGATGGTTATCAGGCAATAACATCACACTATGAAACATCGTGCTATTTCCTTCGCACAAGCCGAGTCTGTTTTTGCTGTGACTTGCACAAACAAGCTGTATAATAAGACAGCTGGCAAAACCAAACATTTCAGCACAGCTGAGATCTACCCTGTAGTAGCCAAGTTCCTTGCTGCCTTTTTTTTTGCCTCTCTCAAAGGGCCAAGAAAGCACTACCCAGAGGCCCTTAACTAATAGGGACTTGAAGGCCTGAATTAGCGTTCCAATCTTTTTATTAAAACAGCTCACAGCAGAAAAATAAACCTGACCTGTTTACCACAGAGTAAGGCTTTGAGTTTGTGTTATGCATGGGTAATTCAAGCTGACATGAACTGTTGTTGGAAGGAAGGAGAAGGCAAATTCTGGATTTTGACTTGAAATGGCAGTGATGACGTGCATGCCCCCCCCCCCCCCCCCAAACTCAGGTAAGAATATCAGATGAGAAAATTGAGGGAGCTGACCATTAATTGGCAGATCTGATTCAGGGATTACAGAACAGGAGTTGTCCTCAAGTTACTTTTGCCTTATACATTGTTCAAAGTACATTTGCATTCAGAAATTTCGCCTGTATGAATAAAGCCCTAGATTTTGACTCTAAATGACAGAATTAAAATAATGTTCATTAGAAGGAGATTAGACAATAGGACCCCGTTGACTTGAAGACCTGTTGGAAAAGGGCTATTTTGGAATAGATTTTGCTACTGTATTCTACAAGAAAAGATAAAATAACTGAATCTTGTAGACTGTGTGCTTCTGAACATACGATTTTGGTAATTGTACTCTTAAAACTCATTTTCTTTCATCTTCATCTGCAGTAGTTTTTGCCCTGTTAAAAAACATGGCTTTTCCTACAGATTCGCTTCCGTATGCAACATGTACAGGCAACTGAGGAACAACAGTTCTGTCTTAATGAGGTCAAATGCTCTTGCCTGGAAGATAGTTTCTTAGTGTGCACACAGTCACGTATTCAAAGCAGAAAATTATAGGATGGTAATATAAGCTTAACATCTTACTGGGTGTACCAGTCAATCTTCTGTCTTTTTCTTGGCATGTCAAATTATATTTCTGCATGTCATTGTCTAAACTGTGTTTTATCTTCCCGCAACTCCCAGGAACACAGTCAACTCACATTTACAATTAAGTCTGGATTCTAAGTCAGATTTTTTTCTGTTCAATTTAAAAGCCTGAAGAATTAGTAAAACAAAAAGAAAAGCTCCACAGTCTTTTAACCAAAATACTTTAGCAGAAGCCGCCTGAGATTATAGCTACGTAAGTAAAAGGGATTTTGGTAGTTTTATTATCGAAACAGAAATGTAGGGAGTGAACCAGTGACTTGAAGAGTAAACATGCAACAAGAATCTATTTGCAATAGTTATGCAAATGAAAAACACGGGCACAGGAGATGAGTGTACAACTTTTTTACTGTAAAAACAAGTCAGACTACAGTGGCTGTTCAGGAAAAATGGGCTTCGGTGTGTAGAGACTGTGTATT